GTTGGATAGCCCAAAGTGTCTACTTTCTAATGGCATAATTTTTGTGCCGATAACATAGGTTTTGAGCGAGTTTTCCAGAAGCCCTATAGAACAAAAAATGGCTTTTTTGCACTTGTATTGCATAAACGCACGCATGTGCCGCACATGTTCATTAGATCCGCCATGACCGACAACCTATTGCAAAATATCAACAAATTATTTAACGCTCAAACAGTTTTTAAGTAAAATGCATTTAACAGAATCGAAACTTATTTGGCGTTTTTCTTAAGACTGTTTTTTAGCTTCAGAGCTTTCGCCAAGCACAGGAATTCTCGGTAACGATACAGCGGGGGAAGTTTTTCTTTTTTTTGATTTGTAGATAACACCTATAACTAGGAGTTGACAGAGTCCGACTTTTAAATTATGCTTCTGCTTTTTATAGAAATGAGGATTTCAGAAATCCTCATTTGTAATCCAATTTCTGAGAAACCTTCCAAGGATTTTTCGGATTTTAAAGTTCTATTCAGCACCAGAAATCAGTAAATGAGAAATTCAAAAATTCGGCTCTGCCAACTCCTTGGCAGAGGTTTTTGCTGCAAAACAAAAACAGCCCGAGCTCTCCATCATTTACCTGGAATGAGAATTCCTGTGCGTGGTAGACGCCTATTTTTGGCCCTTGTTGTGAGGGCCGTCACGAACAGTTGCAAGTGACGCCAAATAAAACGAGAAGTTATCTTCATGTCATATTCTCCTCTCAAAAAAAGAATATGTAGTTTACAAAGCAGATATCGATTTCTAATAGGAACAAATGTCAAAACCAATATCTGTTTTGTTAGCCACAGTTTTTTCGTTTGAGAGCGCACGAAGATAATAAGAATGAATAAAAGACAACTCTGTTCTCAAAAATTCCAACTCCAACTCCAACTTTTCTGAAGCCAACTTCAAATCCAACTCCACTTAAAAATCGCCCAAGTTGGAGTTGCCCAGCCACGATGGCCTTTGGTCTTTTTGATGTCGGTTTGTGACTTGATTAAAGGTAGAAAAACACCGATTTTCTGCGACCTCGATTATTATTGGTTCCTCTAATTAATGATTTTGCTTGCACATGGAATCAAAATTTTGATCTAATTGCATATCAGCCAACATCAAATTTGCAACCTGACTGGTTAATACTAATTCAATTATTTCTTCGACGTTATATAAACAGGTCAGAATTAAAAAACCTACACACACATACCTAAACATTATATAAATTATATACAACCTGGTATAGTACCAAAAGCAAAATCAAAGATATTACATGCATCGTATAAATTATATTACTGTTTATCGCAAAAACGCATACTATAGCAGCATCTTTTTACTTTTTACCATCTTTGAGAGTGATAGGCAGAGAACGAAATTTTGGTTGAAAAGTTCCATTAAAAAACTTGTTGTACTTATTGCATCTTTGGAACTTTTCACCATTATCATCTGTTTGATAATTACAAACAGTCGAGCATTGAATGGTGGATTGTATATCATCAACAGCCTGTATCGTACCGGTGTTTGTTATTAAACTAACGCCAGCATTTGTTATTGATGTTGTTGACGATGAAGCACCATTTTTTATCTTCAATTGAAATGGGTATTACATCTGCATCGCTGAGACGTGTGATATTTGTGTCTTTTGTTAGTGTAGCACTAACTTCATCATAATAAGTTCTAAGTTCTAACTTTGTCATTTCATACGGCATTTCTTTTTCCAAATTTTTATAACTATCACTCCGAAACTTCAAAGTAAGCTGATGTTGATTATCGTCCGCAACAATAACAGGTGTTAATAATCTAACAATTCTTTTATTCTTGTTGGCCTTGTCAACAATTTCTTTCTTCTCACTATTCAGAACATCCATGATTCTAACTTTAATATTAATAATATCTCCTATGAATTTATACAATATATACTATACTTAGTGACTTTCGATCTTTACTTATCTGTCCATTTCTACACAAAATCATACATGCATCCTTCGATAATGCCTCTTCGCATGTGATACATTTCTGTAAATCTGCATATTCAAACGCGGCACTTAGTGTACGAATTTGTGTTTCAAAACCAAAACGTAATTGCTCTCCAGCTGTAAGATTATACGTATATTACACGAGAACTGATATGTACATGTTGTACCATATAATGTTCTAGATCTAGTAGATCTACTACTCAATGTTCTCATAGTTCTCAATGCACTGTCGATGTTTTAAGTTCTCATAGTTTGCATAGTTCTGTATCGCAGTCTTTCGATTGACATCTATGTCAATTTCGTGAATACAGCATAGCTGTTGGTTTAGAGATTGTTTTTCTTTGTTTTGTTCGTTGTAATATTTGGCGTAACGGTGGGGCCTGTGTGAAATGTTCAAACATCGATTGTACTCCATGCTGTAACAGTTGTTAAAAATACAATATCATCACCTCTTTTTATGGTTGTTTTTTCTTTTTCTTCAGTCAATAAACTTTACAATCGCGGCTATTGCCTTCGTGCTCTCGTCCGCTATTCTATGGTTTTTCGTGAACATCGCTTATATTCAGCACTCGTTTTCTATACGTCTTTGAACTATATTAATATATTTTATATTTTATATTTTATATTTTTTTTCATTCAGATTAAATTGTCCATTAACAACCCATTGTTTTGCATACTCACAAATCCAAGGTCCACAGTTATGTGCGTCATTTTGTAAAACAATACCTGGACTTTATTTTACTATGCAGTCATGCGAAGTTATACCGCTGTGTTGAATAGCTCTTAGTAAATCCGGGTAAGCAGGTTGACTACACCCTGCCCCTGTACTATTCCTCACTTCAGTAGTGGTTTTGTAATGGTCTTGTCTAAGTGTAAAATATCTAAGTGCAAGTTGGTTAGAAACAGGGCAGTAGCATGTCTATTTGAAAAATACCAGTCATTTGCTAAACTAAATTCTGTCGCATTCTGGGAGACGTTTTCTCTACGTTTATACGCTGATTAACCGCTGACAGTAAAATGACTTCTGGTCTTAAAAGCTGTCAAAACTTAGAATCAAACCCAAACATTTGAATCTGGTGCCGAATAGACAGAAATCCCCTTAGACAGTGCATAACCGTCTTCAATGGTGAACTGTCTACCACCGTACACATTATCACACCTTTTTTTAGACAGCTCTTGTTTTGTGAAAATATCCATAGAGTGTTTATCAAAGACTAGCAGAAAAACAAAATGTCCTCTCATTGTATTCCTCTCTCCTTCACGACGACAGAGATTTAATCAAGATTACAGAATAAGTTCTTCAATATTTATCTCTCGTTATAATAAATCTTCAAAAACCAGATGATTGTCTCATCTTCAGATTATGTATGTTACGAGACCGAGATACCCGTTTTCTCGTGTCTCGTACCCAGGTATAGTCTCCTACTCTCGTGTCTCGTACCCGGG